AATTATTTGTCATTTACTCCCTTCACGACATGAACTTTCAAACATTTCATTCTTACTATCCATTCGGGACATAATTGTTCTTTATATTTGAAAGAAAAGAGCTACAGAAAAAGATTCCCTATCTCATTTACTTGCAGGTCTATGCTCCAAAGCAAGGATATGAACAAATGGAAATAACTGCCACCAGCTCAGATTCTTGTTTTCTTCTTTGCTCCTTCCCTGCAGCAATAATCTCAGTAAATATAACCTCTGGCGAGTCATTCTGTATGTATCACCTCCAGCTGCTGCTTCAGACTTGCAGACTTCTGAAAGTCAAAACCCTGAATGCAGCCTAATAGTTTTTACTGCCACCTTGTCAGAAATCCAGAGTGAAGTCTCTAGTGTGCCATCTGTACAAGCCCACTCATTCCCTTGGACTGGGAAGTAGAAAGCATATCACAGAATCACAGAATTGTTAGGGTTGGAAGGGACCCTTGGAGATTATCTGGCCCAAGCCCCCAGCCAAGGTGGGGTCACCTGGAGCAAGTGACATAGGAACGTGTCCAGGAGGGTTTTTGAATGTCTCCAGAGAGAGAAACACTACAACCTCCCTGGGCAACCTGTTCCACTGCACCATCATCCTCAAACATAAAGAAGTTCTTCATGTTGAGGTGAAACTTCTTGTGTTTTAGTTTATAGCCTTTGCTCTCATCCTGTCACTGGGCACCACTGGAAAGACTCTGGCGCCATCCTCCTGACACCTGCCTTTGAGACATTTATATTCGTCAATAAGATCCCCTCTCACTCTTCTCTAGACTAAATAGGCCCAGCTTCTGCAGCCTCTCCTCATAACATCCTTCTGATGTTCTCCAAGCTGCATCTCTCAGAGCAGGGATCAGAGTGAGTCTGTCATGCAGAAGCAATGCTCAGCTCCAGGCCTGTCCCTTGGTCCAGCTTTGCTGGAGCCAATGGCATAGACTGACGTGCCCTCTCTGGCCTAGGGCCCAGCTCCCCTTGGCACCTTGTGGGGCAGTGGAACTCAGGAGGCAAAGGGAACCTGATGATGCTCCCCGGGTCTCCACTGGAAGGGGTTCCATGGACCACAGGTGGGGAATACACTGTGAGAAATATCTCCCTTTTCCCACATCAACACTTGCCCTCAGCCTCTTCTCCTTTCTGCCACAGAAGTTCTCCCCATCTCCCTCTGACATGATAAGCACCTTCTTTGTTAAACTCCTCAATGCTTAAAACCTCTGTCAGAAATCTCTTGCATGCACATTTGTCTCTGGCAGCATCTCCCTCGCAGCAATGGTGAGAGGAAGACATGTCAGGAGTGAATAAGTCTAAATCACTTTACTCAAAAGAGACACACCTCTGCAGAGGAGCTCTCTCCCTTTCTGCCCCTTTTAAACCTAATTTTCAAGTTCCTATATAGCTTTTGGAGCTGACTTGGCAAGGGGGATAGGATGGTGGGGACAGGTATGTAAAGCCATTTGGAGACATTCCATGTCCTCAGGCTCCCTTCTTTGAATATACCACAAATGTTTTACTTCAATTCTCAAAAACCCAATCAGATGCAGGTTATTAATTCATTACTATGACAAGATTATTATGATTAATTTAACATGTGCAGGCACTTAAGTAACTACTGTTGGGAAATATTTGTCATTAATTCAAAAATTTTCTGCCTGTAATTTGTAAAATATAAATGCAAGTGTGCAGCAGAAATCCAGCATGACAAAGAGCACTCATCTGCCATCACCTTTACATGTGACTGTACAATGCTTGATCTCTGCCTGATTTAAATAAGCACAACAAAATGTACTGTAGCATTCATAAATTAAATACCATTGACATTCATATGCTAGAATGAGCCCAGATATAGAAAGAGAAACAGAGAAGCAGACAATATCCCCATGGGCAGCAAAAGGGGACACCATCAGGAGAGAGGGTGGCAGAGCAGTATTTCTAATCAAAGCTCGAAAAGCAAAGCTGTGCAAACAAAACCTACTTGTGTGGGCTTTTCTCCCACCTCCTGTGGGTCTGCAATAATTTCTACCAAGGCAGGCTGTGCAGTCAGGAACAACTTGTCTCTCAGGCATGGTACAGACCTCCAGGGTCACCCCATCACTCCTAGGAAGAGAACTCCCTGCCTCAAACTGCTGTGTTTTGCTTGCTTTCCCAGCAAGGTAGGTGAAAATTCTCTGTGTATAGAGCTAGTTAGAGCAACAAATCAGAAACTCAAGTCCAAAATAATCAGCCTCACAGCATCTTAGAAGGGCCCCAGCACTTCTTGGCCTTTGCTGATCCTTTGAGCAGGTCCAAAGTCAGTGATGAATCATTTTGCTCACAGACTCTTTAGCTCTGTGGTTTTGCAAGAGCTATCACTGCCACATGCATACCACCTATCAGACCTTTCTTGTTGCAGGAGCTCCATGCATTGCTTGGACTTTTTTAACTCTGTCATGTGGTGAAAACTCCTTAGGGAAATCCTGAGGAATGTTTTGGTACACTCATATCTTTGAGCTTCATATAGGTGTTTCAGAATAAAACTTGGGAACATACTACCAGAGGGAATTTCCTGAGCATTCAGTGCAAGCAAAGACTCAATATAATCCCTTCACAGGCTGATTAAAGTCTTATTTTGAAAACTATTCAAATTCAAATGCTATTCCAGAACCTGGTAACCCTGGTTAGAAAATCCCAGGCTAAATGACTGGTGTATACCTATTTATTTTTGTGCTAATGTAATACTTTCCTTGAAGGAGCCTTTTTCTTTTGCCACAGCTATTTAGAGAAAGAAGTCCATCTCCCCTTTCAGTCTTCATTGACAAAGCCAAACAAGTCATGGCATCTTAATTTCCTCACAGATATAAGCTCTCTATTACCCTGACATTTTACTAACTCTTCTCTGCACCTGCCTACTCCAAGCTCACCTCTTCAGGCAGCCAGATGCCCAGAACCACATACTGGGTCCCAGGCAGCCTCTATAGCTAAATGACACAAAGATCACACTTGGATTTAAGCTTCCCAGCTCCTAGTTAGGCTTGAACATATCAGCAGACAAATAGAGAGAAAGCATTCACCTGCCTCCTCTTGACTACTCTACTGCAGAGTCCAAGTACATGTTTGAGCTATTTGCTATCAAGAAACACTGTTCATGCAAGGCCAGTGTTTCAATAACCTTTCCAGACTTGGCTCTTTCCTACCACCATCCAACCACCCAGATGCTGATGCTGGCTGCCAATACCAGACTACAGGACCCATTCCAGCTTCTTTTCAAACCCCGAAGTGCCAGCATACGCTCCCTTGGCTGAATTTGCAAGGGCCCAGCCATCTGTGTATCTACAGACTCACCAGAGTGTCTCTGATGCAGGTATAATGGGAAAATATTTAGCCTTTTACATGCAGTTGGCAAATATACTCAGGCTCAAGCCTGAGGAAATTCTGATTCTCTTTGCTTAAGGGTCTCCTTTTTTTAAACATTTAAAAATATTTGTGAGTCATAGCAATGGGTAGGGAATGAGATATCTAGCAGAGCTCCTAGCTCTGCCAGAAGAGCATTACTAAGAGGATACTACCAGGCTTTGTGAACAGAGGAAAGATCAGGAGGTGCTGGGTGACTTAATCTCTCTGGTCCCACGCTATGCTCTGAGGGCACTATTTTACTGAAAGTGCCAGATCAAAGCTACTGCAGGGGTTTCTTCTGTTAACTGTCTCCTGAAAGTGGTTGACCTAGAGACCAGAACAATTAAATGAAATGTGAAGCACCCTCTCAAACAGATATTTTTCCTACTCTGTCCTACATCACCTAATCAGACAGTAGTATGAAGTTACACACGTGGGAGAGCTTTTTTGTAATAAAGGACATCCTGAACTGCATGAAGATACTGACCTGGTATATATTTTTTCTCTCTTCTTATGTGAACATACACCCTGCGAGTCCTAGGAATGAACGTATGAGCTCTCCCATAAGTATAGTAGAGACAAAAAGTCTGGAATACCAAATTGGACATGCACACTTAAAAAGCAGCTGCTGTATCAGGTATGCAATGTGAGACTCTGGGAATTGTTTTTCTGAATACTAAATGTGGAAAATATCAATTGAAGCTGCACTTAGTATCTCTGAAGAAATCAGCTTCTGAACGCCTTAGAGCCAGCACTCAAATTAAACAGCTCCATAACAGAAATAATTAAAATATATTGCTTAAAAATAATCTGGTATTTTATGTCCCTATTCAGAATCCAGCACTACAACCTTCTGTGGAAAAACCATATAAACATTCTTACAGTTTACCTGTCCTAGAGATGTGCAGCCAGACCTCTGGCTGATGTCACTTAGCAGGCCTTTGCTCAAGTTAATTGGAGCTGTATCAATTAATATCTCTGAAAAAACTGAATGTACTGCTTATAGACTTCTGAAAAAGACAAGTTAAACAGCTTGTATGCACCTGGAAACATTCATTTCCATGTTTTTCAAAATATGAAATATGTATTTTCTGTGAGGTGTGGTCCTTCAGAAAACTATTATGCCAGCCCTGCACCAGCACTAGATATGAACATACTCTGGTTTCATTCCCACCATCTGTATTATCTGTGAGTAGAGAAGCTACAACACAAGGAAGACAATTTTTTTTGTAAGTATTTTTCTTAGAATGGTACATTGCTCTAATTTTTACATTTGACAAAGGGGCTCTTCTTGTAATCTATCAAAGGGAAACAAAAAGCAGTAACAAATCCTATTGTGTTACTAACCAGAGGCAATGATTGCTGGCCTCTGCAAACAATACATAGCCAGAGGGACTTGCTGCTTTCTATTTTGTAAATATGCCACAAGCAGCGAGTTGCAGCGAGAGCATGGCAACCAATAACTCTTGATCACTTAAAGATTTTTCATTAGCCAGTTCTACAATAAATTAACTAGAGAAGTTTAAAGGTTGTTTTCAACAATTTATCTATAAACACACACCACAAAGAACAAGGGAAGACAGTTCATCTTTCTCCTTAACTTTTTTACTTACCATCCAATGAAACTTTAATAAGTACAAAAGCAAGTCAATAGTCCCAGAATTGAATGTTGAGCACCTGTGTAACCAAGAAATACATTTCACCTGGAGGAAAACAACCCGTAAAGTACCTCAGATATAAACTTTCTTCAGCTGCTTACCTGCGTAGGTTTCTGTTTGTCAGATTCAACACACCACAAAAGGCTACTGGTGTTTCAGAAGGGATCTGTCACCTTGCCAGACATTTAAGTGGTAGCAAAACCAGCAGAGGCACTTTCAAGTTAGCGCAGAGAACAGTGAAAGTCTCAATTCAGTTCGACTTGGACAGGTGCACCCTATGTCTCATCAGATACCCAGCATGGGGCTCCTCTGTCTTCCCAAAGCGTGAGTTATGAGCACTGCCCTGAACCTTTCCCCAAGTGATCCCTGTATCTAATGCGGAAGGAGCTGGTCAGAGAAGAAAGCACCAGTATCCCCCAGTTGCTAGGTAACAAGCAGGGAGATCCTGACCTGAATTCTTAGTGGAGGCTGATGTTACTCAGGAAGCTTAGCTGAGTCCTTCCTGGTTAGGGAGGGCCATGCCAAAAAGTTACTCCTGGCTTTGTAAAGACCACTGCGTAGCACCCATGACAAAGGGTCAGCTGCTGAGCTATTTTTATGATTAAAAGGCACCTGTTGTAAAAATAGGAAGCACACATAAGGGTGATATTTTCTGCTTTTCATGCTAATGAAACCACAAAGTTTTTAACCTTAAAAGAAGACCTGTTTCAAATCTGGTCGTTAAATAAAGCAGAAAAAAATAAACACCATGTGCACAGCCTCAATATTAACAAATGCAATGAGAGAATATTACGCATGTGAAAATTAAAAAAAATATATTATCCCATACACTGTACTATGAAGCATAATCTAAAGCCAAACTCAACATGGAAAATTGAAAGGAAGCAAATCAGGGAATTTCATGATTACATAAGAACTGTGCATTTTCTGGCCATGTAAATACTTTAAGTTATTGCTGTGCCATTGTATTTATTACTCTATTTAGCTTGCAAATTCTTCAGGATGTATTTTCTAAAAGATGAAAAGTAAACGCTCAGCCAGACCTGAGGAGCTAAAGTGCCTCTGAGCCCCTTGGATGGGGTATACCCAACCCTCTTATCCTGTATAGCAAAAGGAAATAATGCCTCCTCATACACAACATAACATGAATGTCAAAGACCCAATTATCTGGAAAAGATGCCTCTTTGCTTTCTACTGGCTCCAAGAAGCATCTTGGCAAAAACGGCACGAAAGCAATGCTGAGCACACCACATGTGGCATGGCTCCCACAGGCTGGAGGGGCCCATGAGGCTGGCAGGGCAGAGGGGTATCGGTGCAGAAACAAGTCCTTTCATTCCAGCTGGCTGCTTCCCCATCACATCTGAGCACATTCTCACATGTGAGCAGTTCCCTCATTGCTCAAGTAGATTCTGCCAGTCCCAGACAGGAATATCTGTGAGGACTCCAGCTCAGCCAGGGCAGTAGCTCCCATATCTCTGCATGAGTTTGCAGTGGGTGTTCCTACCACCCAACCACCACATGGACAACTGCTCTCTTAAAGAAGGGTCTTAGGGAGAGGAGAACTGGCCTTTCACATCTAGAGAAGCCCAGCTATGACCTTAAAAGGGAATGACTCCACAATAGCCTTCTATCTGGTAGAAACAAAGCAATGCTTTAATGGAAGGGAAAGGCACACAAGTGTCCCTGCAGAATGCCAGCCCCACTCAGCTGTGCAATGGCACACCTAATGTATGTAGTGTATCCCCAAAAAGGCTCTCCTTCCACTGTAGCCAGGTTCCCTAGCCTGATAAATCTGTGTTCAGCACAGGTCCGAGGTCAGGAAGCAGTCTCGTAGCTATGCTCAAGATCTCTCCCTCCCCATAAATGTCCCTATTTATCCAGGAAATCAGTCTATCCCTGAAGCAATTATAACTGCCAGATGAGTATTATGGTGCTTCAAGTACCTTTCTGAACAGGAGCCAAAGCTCATCATATTGATAGGAAAATTACAGTTCTTTTGTTCATTTCCCTTTGTCATTTTATTGCAGACACAGGAAGAGCTCTGAGTCCTATCCCAAAAACACTTAAATTTACAGACAAAATAGTTATGGATGTCACAGTCTGAATTCAGCAGGGTTAAATTAATCCAGGTTTTAAATAGAGTCAAAAGATTAAAAACCCTACAGATAAACAATAGACATTTGGAGGAAACATACTGAAAATTTAAGATATTAAATATATACTCACCTGCTGCTAAAGAAAAACTGATACAACACAGCACAAATCAGAAATCACAGCTCTGTACAGTACACCTGATTTTTAAGCAGTGCAGATACTCTGAAACAATTTTCTAGTGAAAGGCCATCTTACAGATACTATCACTAGGAGGCAAAACAGTGCAGAGACTCTACTAATAGAAATATTTGTGTTTTAAATAGCTCTAGACTAATTTTTTTTACTACAAATTCAGTTTTTGCAAACCAAGTGAGGTGCGTGGCACTTCAGTGCACCTTTTCCTACGGATTCTTCCAAATGGTCTTAATGTTCAGCCATGAAACAAGCTGCAATTAAATAGCAGACTTTAGAGAAAACAGAGAAAGCTTCGCAAGAAGAAAGGTGTGGCAAATATAAGCTTTTACTAGTAAGGCCCTTAATAGAGGCAAAGAGAAATTAAAAGACACAAGTATGGTAAATTTGAGAAGAAATGGAGAACTGCTGAGCCCAAAAGAGAGAGGAAGAAGAAAGTAATTTCAGGACTCATGTAAAAGTTAGAAAAATATGTAGATGGGAACAATGCTGTTGGAAATGCTGATTGCATGGAGAGCACAAACTGGACAGTTCTCCTCTTTTTTAACATTTCCTCCAGTCACATCTTGAACAGCAAGAACGGGTAAGTAGTAAAACAGATTTAAGTGGACTAGAGAAAATCCACTCCATAGTGCTAAGAAAAACCAGTCACATCTTCTTATTGTTTAAATTGGCATAACTCCACCAGCTTCATTTTATGCCAGCTCAAAACTTGGTCAAATGCAGTAAGATGAAGGTAGCTGTTCCTCTTATATGTTTCACTCTGCCTGCAGGCAGGCTTCAGCAAATAGCATATCTATTCCTGGGGGACATACTTAATGAAGGATTTAATCTTCCTGATGAATACAGAAAGATGCCAAAGTGCCAAACTTGTCAAACACACCTTGCAACAAAACACACTGTTAAAAATTTGCTTTACTTGGCTATATACTTGTAAAGCCATGTGAAACAGACCTGACTTCAACCACTGAAAGTCAAACACTGCTGCCCAAATCCCTTTGCAAAGGTGTAGTGTTACAGCAATTGAGGTGGCCCGCAATCTGCTCACATCTCGGCTCGAATCAGTGACACAGTGCCGAGAAGTCTCCCGGCTGTTCAGAAGGAGCTGCGTGAAGCACTGATTCAAGCTGATGAATTGTAACCAAGCAACACCGCCAGCATCTCTCCAGCCCATTGTTCAACTGAGCTGCGGAGAATAGCAGCAGAACAGCACTGAAAAAACCTGCCAAACTCCAACTTCAATTAAAGGATACCATCCCTCTAACACTAGACATAGTAAATTTTTAAACCAAAATTTAACGGAAAGAAACTTACTTCCCTCTCAGTAAAGATAATGACATGCCTGAAGGCAGCAAATTAATTTCTTTGTGTCCAGGACCACTTGTAAATCATCTTTACAAAAGAAAGAGTTGAAATTTACTTTACATAAAAAATGCAGGGCAATGAATTATTCATCTGAGCAGAAGGACAGAAATACTGCTTTTTTGTTAGTCTGGCTATTAGATGCTGAGGGAAACTAAAGAAAACTTTCTCAGATATAGTAATGACACAGATGAAATGGAAAGGAAATAGATATTTGAAAATTTTGTTTGGTGAGAGTTGGCAACTTTTTCCCATGTAAATGTCTGAAACCAACAGTTAATGCACAAAATACTGCTGCTACATCATCACACATGTGAACCTTTTTATCAACAGAAGCATTAAAAAATTAGATTATAATACTGAAATCTTTTCCTTTTATTGTAATTAAGTGGTGGGATTATTCGTCCTGTCTAATGCCTGGATATCAAAACCAAAATTCACTGCAAAATTATCCACTGTTGCCCCTTATTGAAAAAAAGAAGACAACACAGTCTGTCAACAAAACTGTTGGTTACTAGATGTTTTTGCAATGTTCAACAGTATCCCCATTTTACCAGAAAAAAAAAATGCACAAATTAAGAATACGATACAGAATTTAGATGTTTTTATAACATAAAAGGCTAGCAGCTGTAGACATTTCTCAGAGCATAAAAACCAAAACCACTGACCTGTAAAACAGAAAGAGTAATAACATCTGCTAGACTTCTGGGCTCTGAAATCACATTCCCTGAGAGCAAGTTTCCAAAAGAAAGGCTGAGCACTTATGTAAGATACCAATTCCATTTTCAATGGACAATGTTTCTCTTTTGAAATTGTATGTAAAAGCCTAAGTGCAAAACCACACGCATCTTTCTTCTCCAGAAATTAACGCTGTAGGGCAAAGTAACAAAATGCCATGGCATTGGCATAAAAATAGATTTAGCAATGTCTTTCCGAATTTGTGATATCATAGAATCATAGAATGGTTTGGGTTGCAAGGAACTCTAAAGATCATCTAGTTCCAACCCCCCTGCCATGGGCATGGACACCTTCTACTAGATCAGGCTGCACAACGCCCCATCCAACCTGGCCATGAATACTTCCAGGTATGGGGCATCCACAGCTTATATTAGATCACCCTCTTTGCTTACTTCCATGCTTATCTTTCTAGTCTTTCTCTACAAATGAAGTTCCTAGGTTTGGTCTTTTCAATCCCATCATGGGGGACCAAGCAGTTCTGTAATCACTGTTCTATGTGGAGTATCACCAGCATCTCAGGCAGGAATGCTGCTGCTTAGGCTCTGCCTGCTTGATAGCTTAAGGTCCTTCTTATAAGTCCTCAACACTGCCACAGGCTTTGACACTACACAGGACTCCTTATAGGCTCAAAGC